AGCCTGGGAGTCGCGCATTCGAATTGGATGCGCACAGAAGCTGCCTGGAAAAACCTGATGGAGGCTTTGCGGAAGCCCTCCAGCCTGGGAGAGGCCCCCTGAAACAAACTTCCAAACCACTCCAAGAAGCTCAGCTGCCTCTTCCGTGGGCCGACCCCTCCTCGCCACCTCCTCCCGCGCGCCGAAAGGCGGCTCCCCGGGCATGGGGCCGGAGCGGTCGGCCCCAGCTTTTCCCTCCACTGGGGCCTCCGGGGTCCTTTGGGGTGCCCTGTGAGCCGCCTGGGCCTCCCAGGGCTCGAGCTCACCAAAATTGTTCGCTTTCGGTTTGTGTTCGTTTTCCCTCGTTATGTTTTCGCTCCGCCGTTTGCTGCAAAATGAACTCAAAACGGAAACGGCCGACAAAATCGCGAAAACAACCCTGGCGCCTCCTCAGGAGAGCGGGGGCCACCTTGGTCCAGGGCCACGTCTGGCAGCACACGAGGGCGGCCTTTTGTTGTTCCGGCTGCATCGGCACGGGGGACTGCTAGGGTAGTCCAGATTTCGTAATAAAAGGGAGGGGGTCTGGACCCTCCAAGACAAGCCATTTCAGACACCCCCCCGTGGGAGAACCCTCCAAAACATCGTCCCCGGACCCCCCCAGGCCCTCCAAGATAGCCTGGAAGAGACCCCCCCCGAAATGAGACCCCACTCCCTTTGTTACGAAATCTGGAGTAGTAGAGGGGCTATCAGCAGATACAAAGGTGGGTTTTATCTGGCCTGACCTAGCTTAAGAGAGGGTTACCAATGTCCCAAGTGGTTGGGCGGAGCCAACTTAGCCCAGATCGCTAACCCCCTTGAGCCACTTAGTGCACTTGGGTCCACTCATGGGCTAGGTCAGTCAGGTCAGATATGACCCACCTTGGCATCCCCTGATGACCCCTCGATCCCCTCAGCAACCCCCGCGCCAATCCCAGTGGGGAAGCGATTCCAAAATTCGTAGTTCGCCTCAACTAGGGATCGCTGTTACATCAGAAAGCCGTTCGTCGTCAACGCATCTCGCATTCCTGGCCGGTCCTAGCCTCCTCGTCCTTTATGCCACCCTTTGTCTTCTCTTGATCCTCGTCCTCATCCTCGTCCTCCGCGTAGCATGTGGGGAAACGGTGGGGGGGGATTAGCAGAGGGGAGAGGAACATCGACCTGGAATCGGCGATACGTCGCCGATAAATCGGCGACAGGCCCGATAGCCAGTCCGCACGTTCCTGGGCGGGGTGGGCTGTCGGGCGCCTTTCGGATGAAACCCCCTGAGCCTATACCCCCCCCAAAAAAAAATCAAAACGTGCGGGACGCACGCGTGGCAAGGACGCAAGACCTTTGGAAGGCAGAGTCGGGACTTCTTGGGCGGCAGGCGAGAAGCTCAAGCGGCAGAGAACGGACCGCAGAGGCAAAAAACACCAGGGCACGCCGAAGGAAGGCGCGCGAACCCACTAGGCTTAAGTCGCGCCTGTCCCCCAACAGGGGGATGTTCGACGAAAAATAAACAATACCCCAATAAGAATCCAAAAATAGTCCAAAAATAGTCTGGGGACTATTTGTTGAGTATTATTGTTGCCTTTTTGGGGTATCTTTCGGGTATCTTTTATTTTTCGTCGAGAATCCCCCTGTAGGGGGACAGGCCCGACATAACACTAGGCGCGTTGACTGCATCGTTGCCCATGACTGAAGGGGCCCTGGGACACACAAAAAACTACACACTAATAAAAGGAATCCCCATATTTTCCCATAGTTTCTTGGTTTCTGTCTTCCCCCCCACTGCCCAAATTTTCCCGTATTTTCTGGGGGATCGACGATTACTTGTGTCTGTGCTTTTTTTTCTCCTCCTGAATGACCCAGGCCGCCCAGCTTCGCGCACCGCGCACTGCGAGACGCCGCCCGCACGGCCACCTCCGTGCCCCCGCGCCCTGGCGCCGACCCCACAGGGAGAGGAGCACAAGCTTTGGCCCAGGTCGCGACGCCGCGAGGCGCGGCCCTCTTTGAAGGGGCCCCAGGACACACAAATAGATACACACAAATAAAAATATTCCACATAGTTTTCAATATTCTCGGGCTTTGTCTTCCCCCCCACTTCCCATAGTTTCTCATACTTTCCTGGGACTCGACGATTAATTGTGCTGTGTGTTGTTGTTCCTTCCTGACTCTTCGCACCCCCGCCGTTGACCTGGCGAACGTGTTTTTGTTCGGCGTCGCTTCGGCACTGGGCGGTAAGGGGGGGGGTCTGGCTGCAGACCTGTGCACCGTGCGAATGCTCGCAGAAGCGCGTGCTGTGGGGGAGCACTCTACCTGCCGGAGACAGGCGGCAGAAGCACCCAAGATCTCCTCCATGGTGGGGGGAGGGGGTGCGGGGGCCCGCGCCGATCGGCGAAACAACGAATGAGAAAACGAACACCTACAACCCTCCTCGAAATGAGACACAAAAGTTTTGAGTTCTTTTTTTTGAGGGCGAAGATGGGAGCGGACCGCATGTTTCAACAACCGCCGTCGTAACGCGAAACCTGGTTGCACTTGAAAACCGTTTTCTTCCTCACGAAGGGTGTGGAAACGGATGCACACACAGCGCCGAAAGAGAGGAGGAGGAGGACAAAAGTTTTGAGTTCTGGTCGACGCGCGAAGCGCGGCCCACGGATTCCGATCTGTGCGCTTGCGGTCACAGCTTCGGCGCAAACACTGAAAAACGTTGGAGCCCTGGGGCGCCGCACGTCGCGGGATCATTGATTTCGAAGAAAGATTCGGGAGACTCTTCATGGGGGGGGGATCCCATGGGGGGATAGGATCCCAGGGGGGGGGATCCCATAGGATCCCCTGGGGATCCCATGTGGGGGCAGGAGGGGATCCCATGGGGGGGATCCCCTCCTGCCCCCCCATGGGATCCCCCCCCATGGAGAGTCTCCCGAAACATGTGGGATCCCACGGACGCCGGGCCACCCGACGTCAAGCCGGCTGCACGCAGGGCGAGAGTGACCTTTCGTGCGCGGTTTGCGGGGCCCGCGAGATTGCGTTGTTCGGGTTACTTCGAACAACAATCGCCACCAAAGGGGGGACCAGGTAACGATAACGTTAGGTCGGGAATGTCCCCCTGCAGGCGGATCTTAGGCGAAACAATTGCATTAAAAAATGATGAAAAAATGTCCCACATTATTTTTTACTATCTTTGAATATTCCTCCTGTGGAGGGACATGCCCGACTTACAAGTATTGCAAATTGCAGTCGTTACCCAGGGGGGGCCGGGTAACGGTCACGCTTCGGCGTGAGGGGGCACGTCGGGGCGGGCGGTGCGCTGCGATCGCCAGAGTGTGCGCGCGAGCTCCAGCAAGTGGGAGGGGGCCCGCCCAAGCACCCCCCCCCTCCCCACGCACGCAACCATATTATCAGGGGGGGGGGGAGCACGCAACGACGACCATGGCCGCCGCGCCGAAGGCCACTCCGGCAAAGGGCCACTCCGACGCGCCGCCGATTCGTGCGCGACGCGCGAGCACCCCCGCGCTCTCGCGGCCTCGCGCCGCCCCTTCAAGGAGCCGGGCCGCCGCTCTGGCCCCCACCGCGCTGCGCACGCGGCCCGGCGCGTGGCCTCTGCGGACCCCTCGCGACCAGCTCTCCGAGCCACGTCCTCCAACGGGGCCGCGAGGGCCCCCCCTTCCAAAGCGCCCCTTCAAGAAAGGCCAGCAGGACTCGGGGACGGACAGAACCCCCTGCAGCAACACGTGGTTTAGTGAAAACGACCTCGGGCCCAGACCTGGCGGGCGCAAGGCTGGAAAATGACGGCCGCGGCGCCCTCTCGAAAAACCGAAAACGGCTAATTCACTCATCGACGTGTCAGGGTAGGAGGTCTGTCCACCCCCGAAGGACCTCCCCTCAGGGCAGTCAGCCGCCGCGTCGGCGCCTGCCGCAATCGGGGGCAGGGCGCCCGCGAGGAGCTCGGAGCACCCACCAAAAGTCGCCGAACTCGGCGTGAGGACGCTCTGTGCCAGTGGAGCGTCTAAACACCGACCTCCTTCGGCGAATGCATTAGCTCTCTGGCCGGCCAAGACGTCCCAGGCCTCCATGCACCAGACTAGTGAGCAGCAGTGCCCTGGCTAACCCTGGGGTGCAATCGGAACAAGGACAGACGAACATGCTACAATAACATGCGCCGCTTCGCCGGTAAACTGACCCAAACATTGAAGGTCACCGAGGGTCCCTTCCGAGGAGTCACCCGACCTCACCAGCCTGCATGGCCTATCGAAGAAGCCATGGTGAACACGGAAGGGCATGGCCTGGAACCCCAGTCTCACAAACCGGAACGAACGAACAAAGCTGCCGAACCGAAGAACACTCGAGGGCATCCTCCGCAGGTTGCGCAAGAGCATGCAAAAAAGGCAAAGCAAGAAGGATCCTCCATAAAGGCCTCCTAGATGGGGTCGGAATGGATGGGATCGGACGATCGCACCGCATCGGCAATGCGTCGGCGATACATCGCCGATACGTTGGCGATTCACCTGCAACGTCAGCGATGCAGCGGCGACGTCCGCATGGAGAAAATGCTCCACATCGAGCCGCATCGCCGATGCACCGGCGATGCGGCGCGATCCTCCGAGCCCATCGACAGTCGGACCTAGGACATAATAGCATCTTTCAGGAACATGAGGCCCTCCGCTGGCCAAAACACACAGACCATCCGAGGGTACCCTCCCAAGGATGCACAAGAACATCCAACGATCACGAAAAACATTGAGTAGGGCACCCTCCCCGAATCGGCCTCGATCTTATACCTCGGTCCGACTGCACTCCGACCCCATCTGGGAGTCCAAAATTCCCCCCAAGCCGAGCATGTGCACCCCGCCTCGCCCCGAGCGCAGCACCCGAGCGTCGCGGGCCGCGGGCCAGAGGCCGAGCGCCACAGGCTGAGCACCCAACCGACCATCGAGCCCAGAACCCGGGCGCCGCGGGCCGCGGGACGCCCGAGGGGGGCGGCGGGCAGGCGGGCGCGC